AAGATTACATTGTATGCATGGAGTTAGCCTAGGACTTGGTCCACTGCAGGGCTGATAATTGTGGGTTAGATATTTATTTATGGTCGCAGGCACTATGTGAGATTCTATGTGACTTCACCCCATTTAGGATCCACAGCAGCAGCCAGGGGCAGCTGAAGAGAGAGACCCAGTTGGTCATGTGACTGGAAACAAAGACTTACTGATGGGCTCAAACTCAAGGTCTTGTGGTTTCCCGAGTTCACTTTGGTTTCCTTTTGAGCATCCTATGCTCCATACAGTTGGACTGCTGAAAAAGTGGTTTGGATTTTGCAAGTTGGTCAGAGAATGAGCAGCTCCCCTGGGCTTTCATGGACATGCTGTCAGTGTCCTTTTCCTCCACAGATTCCTGTGCTCCTGAACCTGAGCCAAGACCCCGAGGTCAGCCTGCCTGCACCACCGCTGATGTATGCCCTGGCCCTTGGCGCCTGCCTAGGAGGTAAGGGGGTGCTAATGCCCTGAGGGAGGACCCCCCTGACACTCTGGTGAGCCTCAGGTGATGACTAATTGCACGTCAAATTGAAAGAGAGTAAAAATAGTCCAGATGATTTCCTGAGTGGAAACACATCTTCACCTTTGAGTGGAGCAGCTAACAATTTCTACTCAGTTCCTCTGTAAAGCCTGTCACTTCCCACGCTCTGCAGAACTGCCCCTGACATTCTAAACCCACAGCCAGAGGATGATCATTCCTGACGTCTCCAAGTTAACGTGCTCCCACACTGCATACAGTTGTGGCTTATACTTCGAAAGAGATTTTGAATCAGAAGCCATCCTCCGGGGCACTTTCTTACTCCCTTTTTAAGGAGTGTCTTTTGGGGAAGGTGGTGTGAAGTGATGAATGGGTGAGCTAAAAAATAGAGACTCTAACCTAAGAGTAAGAAGAAAGATTAAAAAAAATGGTTTTTTTTGACAAGGGAAGTGTATTGTCTTTGGGAGACATTGAAAAGTTAGCCTTCTAGAGAAATTGTCGGGAGAGACTAACTTCTGGTGAATAAACACAACGGCTTTGGATGTGATTGTCTTTGGAGGGAGCTGCGTTAGAGTTCTTCTCACTTAAGGGGGCCTAATAACCTTTGGGAACACAAGAGGATTGTGAAGAATCTTAGATAAACACACTAGATACCAATTTTTTTAATTAAAAAAATTTTTTTGATGGAGGTACTGGTGATTGAACCCAGGACCTCATGCATGTTAATTAAGCATGTGCTCTACCACTGAGCTGTTTCCCTCCCCACTGCGAGATACCTTTAAAGTTTTTATTTTTACATCCAGGTGTGCTTAGATAATCTAGCTTGCTTTGCTCTTTGATTGATCTCTGACTATTAAATAAGTAACTTTCTTTGTAGTTTATCTTTGTAAAGGGAGAGATTAATGTCATTCAGTGAAGTTGCTATGATTTCTGGAGACGGTGAATTCACCTAATTAAAGCAGCTGAGGTCTCAGGTTCTGAGTAGGGACTTGTTAAAATGGCTCCCGTCTAAGACCAGCCTCAGGAAAAGCAGTAATTGTGTTCACAGCCACATTTAACATCAGTGATGGAAGCAATCCAGAGACATCTGGAAGTGTGTCCTCTGTGTGGAGTTTTGTTCATTAAACCTTGCTGAGCATCTTCTGTACCCTGACATTGTCTTCCCGAGTAAGGAGACCATCACTTAAGCTAAGATTAGAACATAAACGGATGCTCTCATGGCCATATGCACTGAGTGCGCAGGGGGCACTGGTGAGACTGGGGGAAAGTCAGGAATGGCTCTCCGGAGAGGTGAGTTCTGAGCTGGGTCTCAAAGGATAAGAAGCCTCCTGGGCTAGTTCTGATTCCCCTAGAACACGGAGAATACATGTGGAGGGGATTATCAAGGAGAGAAGTTAACATGGACCATTTACATAACCGAAACTAGGATTAAACATTTGTTACCTGAGCCCCTTTTGGAAGCAGGAGTGTAGCTGTAACAAGCAATGAAGGTGTTAATCTGTGGGATCTTTTTAACCCACTAGCCCTGGTCATTGAGTGGTACCTTTTCCTGGTATGGCAGATGCTCAGTTCTGCTGGTTGTTAACTATACATTTATTCTGTTGGAGGATCTTCTCTCATTAACTCAGAGTTTGACATTTTAAAAAATTGTGGTAAAATATACATAGCATAGAGTTTACGATTTTAAGCTCATGTACAGTAGTGACCTTAAGTGCATTCCTATTATGCAATCATCACCACTCTCCATCTCCAGAACTTATTCATCATCCTTAACTGAAACTTTATACCCATTAAACCGTACCTACCCATTCCCACTGGGTTTAGCATTTTGAAGATCACTTTTTTAAACTGAAGTAGTCAGTTATAATGTGTCAATTTCTGGTGTACAGCAGGTTTCACTTCACTTTAAAGTGAAGTTTCATTTGGCTTGAGAAACGTCATTTGTTCTATAAGTTGGTGTGATTCACTGAACAGTTTGAAACTAAGTCTTTCCTAGTCGCATCTCAGTATCTTTTGGCTACTCTTTTTACTAAGAGCTAAGAACAATTCAAGTAAGTCTTCAGAAAAACCTGCCTTAGCCTGGGTTTCCTAGAAAGCAGAAGTTGAGGCAGGTTTGCGAGCTGAAGCTTTACTGGGATGTGCAAGCCTAGGACAGGAAGACTGAGGGAGGAAGCGAGGTCAGGCGGTGAAGGAGAGAAAGCGAACACATGGTGCATTACTGAGCTAGGAACAGCTTCAAAAGAAATCCAAGCCAGTTTTTAGTTACATGGTACATTTTCTAGGTGCTTCCCATATGACTATCATGCCTTGGAGGAGGAGGAGGAAAGAGGTTTGTCTGTTAGTTCCACACTGTCCTCTGTCATCGGTCAGTTTGCTTTGGGTGACTTCTGAGTCTGTGAGGAAATGTAAAGTTGCAGGAGACCATTGCTCCCAGCGCATCGGAGAACAAGCAACATGAGCTACAAAATTAGTTTTTAAAAGCCATCAGAATGCTGAAGATGCAAAGGAAGTAAATTCCAGAGAGTGATAAGCCCTTCATAAGGGAGAGGAGAACACGGGCGCCGTCCTCTCTGGCTGACGGTGCCGGGAGGCCGAGTGAGACCTCTCAGTGCCTGTCCTGAGTGTGCGGTGAAGCTGGGGACGTGGCGGCAGCAGCCATGAAGCTTCGGAGACATGCTGGGCCTTTGCAGACCCCATGTAGTTGGCGGGACAGCCAGCCAGGACAGAACTTCAGAACACAGAGACTCCTCCACAATCAACAGGCCGTAAACCTGTTAGAAAATCGATGACTTGGCTCGATAGCCAGAGACCCAGAATCTTCCTGTGCTCAGTATCTCTGTTTCAGAGAACTTCTCATCCTGCTCTCAGAACATCTGCAGCCAATGGCAAATTGAATCCAACTCTAAGGGTATCCAAGCCAGGTCCAGCTCAGCAACAGATCAGATTGGCCTCATGCCCTGCGCTGACAGCCTGGCCCAAGCGAGGACGCCCTTTTCAGCACATGCGTGTGTCTGCGCGTATGTGTCAATATCCTGTTTCAGTCTCTGCAGTTCCTCACGTAAAATGTCCAACATCCCATTACCTTGATAAAGGGCAGCTGCAGAATCCTACAGCTGACATCAGCCTCACTGCTGAAAGGCTGAATGTTTGTCCTGTGAGATTGGGAATAAGGCGAGGATATTTGTTCTCATGTCTCTTATTCACCATAGTTCTGGAGCAGTCAGGGGGGAAAGGAAACGAAATGTATACAGATTAGAAAGGAAGAAATAAAACTGTTCCTAGGAATGTTTATATATCCTCCATGTGTATATTTTAAAATACTCTTGTATAT